CTCTGGTTAGTGCGGGGCCAAGTTTATAGCTTATACTGTGGGACGTTTAGGAGGGAGGGGGGCTGTCCTCCAGCTTGAGCAGCTGTGCTTTCTTGAACATTAAGACTAGCATGAGCTAAAGTGGGCTGGAGAGGATTTAGTTTAATGAAAATTTGCAAAGATAGAGAGAAGAGGTGTGGACACTAAAATAAATATGAATTCTATTCAATTTCCACTTGTTTTAGCTTCCTTTGTATGCATGAACAGCTTCCTGGAGTGTGGGGAGAAGAGACACAGGCGCGGGGTGGCTAACATGTTGTGAGGAGTGACAGCTTGTTCCAGTGCCCACTAATCGTCCTCATCTGTGCCTGCCTTGTCAATGCCCAGATTCTGTCAGTGCCAATCAGCCAATTAATTGAACACAATTAGCACCCCACCCCAACCCCCTATACGCACCACATTCTTCAAAGGCCCAGTTCTCTCCCTCCAGCACCAAGGCCCCCCTCCTCCACCCTTCCTCCCATTCTACCTCTCATTCTGCTTCTGTCTCTTCATCCTATGGCGCTGGAAGACACTTTTCAGTTTTTATTAATGTGCTGCGGCCAATTAACACAGTGGCATGCAGGCCAGAGCCCATCATCTGCTGCCTGCCACCATCCCGGCTGTCTGCTGTGGCCCCACGCCACCCCTCGCGCCACCTCCACCGTGACCAAAACGCTTTAATTCAATTTATGCAATCACTGTTATTTTTAAATAGTCATTTTGTCTGCTCAGATGAGGGGCCTTACTGCCCGCTGGGCCGGCCCTCTCATGTGAGGGATGGGGGAAGGGTGGAACATTGTAGGACTAGGAGTCGACTGACTTTGGGGGGGATGATATTTTCATTTGTTATTTACTTCTTTCGTGTTTGTTTTTTGGGGCGTTTGATTCAGATTTTGAAAGAGGATTTTAAATTAAAATTAAAAGTTATATATATATGTACATACAGTTGTATGTATATATATATATATATATATATATATATATATATATATATATACATATATACATATTTCTTGTCTAAGAGCTGTTCTCAAAGTCAGACACTTTCCAGACACTGGATCTATGTGAGTCCTGGGTCACAGATTTAAACATTATTCTCTTCCTGTAATCACACCCTCAGGACTGGCCTTCAAATATTGATCTGAAATTCAGTGTCATCACTGTGGATCTTTAATCATTCTCTGCTGAAGCGAATATCAGCCAAGCAGATCTGCTAAGGTGCAAGATGCTATTCTGCAGCACTCAGATAACTTACAGACATTTGGAGTGCTCATTTTTCCCTGTCTGCCCCGGTGACCTCTGCCTAACTTAAAGGTACATCTTGGGGGCATTTTGATTTGGGCAGAACAGGGAGCTATCGGTGACAGAGGAACTAATCCAGTCTTGCGCAGATTAAGAGTATTTGTGGAGTGGGGTGTGTTGGCGCTGGCGCCGGGAATGGAACAGAAGGGGCTCCTATCAGCTCTCCAGGCAGGCTAGCCCTCAGGCCAGCGCAGTCCTACAGGAGTCTTTGTACTTCCCAAAGCCTCCACTTTCCTCTCACTCACTCTGTATCACTTTCTCTTCTCTCCTCTGCCCCCCTCGCCCTCTTTCTATAGGCTATCATATTTTCACTGCTCCATTTCCTCTCTTTACATTTGTGAATTTGTGTTGTTTTAGTCCAACGCAAGAGTTCATGTGCCCACTTATTATTGTCAGGTGCTTGAACGGGGACAAACAGTCCCAATATAATATGACAGATAGTCACAGATTTGGGGGACATTATACTGTATAAAAAGACATAAATGCTGCACATTTCAAAATTGCTCAAGATATAACTAAATGGTTTAAGTTCAATAACACCAACAAGTTTTAATTTAAAACAATGTGTTGTGTTACAGCACATCTACACTCTATTGCTTTGCTGACTTGTTTCCCCCTTATTTTTGTTTTTATTTTTTTCTTGTATCACTCACAGTGTTTCTCTCAGCTCTGTCTCTGTCACATTGTTTTATTCTGGAAAGAAATCCAACAAAGAACATCTCGTCAAACATTCGCACAGACAAAAAAAAAATGTAATTTGACTGTTGAAGAAATTAGGGAGGTATGAAAGGGCCTCTTTTTGTGTCTCAAGTGTGCTATTTATTTATCTGTAAGGATGCACATTGTATCAATTTACACTTCCCCATTCACTTCGCCACAGGCTGGAGGGCTCAGAAGTTGAGAGAATTAATTACTTTTTTATTATTATTTATAAAGTAATCTATCTGTAGAGAGGGAGCAAAGAAGGAGAAGGAGAGGGTGGGGGGGCAGAGGAGGCAGGGAACGCCCTGGAGCATTGTCCTTTAAACTAGGTCCTGGCTCACATTATCTCCCAAACCAGCACTCACACAACGTCAAACAACAAACGAACTCTGGGCTGCTGAGGACGCTGTATGCAAGGAAAGAGAGGGAGGTGGGGGAAGAGGAGAGGGAGGGAGGGAGAGAAGCAAGGAGGAAGTCTTCTCTGCAAGAGTGTAAAGAGTATATTAGGAAAAAATAATGTGGTTGTTAAGATTTCTTCTTTTTTTTTCAGCTCTTAAATTTTACACTAACTCAAACTCCACAAGTCTTGTTTAATGCACCTGAGTGTACACTACTGAGATGTGTAATTTAAAACTTGCGTAACATCCTGGTGCACCAGACCCCATCCAGGGAAACTCCAGTGAAAATTGCATTGACAATAACCATGTCAATCCAAAACCACATTCCATTAATGTCTATCAAGCTGTGTGCATGTTACATATATAAAACTCTAACAAAGCGCTTTTTATTCCTCTCTAAGAGTAAATTCACTCACGAAGAGTTTGTGACAGAATTTTACATCTATAAAGTTTTTGTTTTACAACGCATGTAGCAACAGAAACACATGAAGGTATCCAGCTGCAAATGTTTTTTTTTACAAGCTTTTGTGACTAAGTATCGTTTAACCCCTGAATGTGAAGGGAGAAAACTTTATGGGGACATCAAAGTGACAAAGCCATGCAATTATAACATAAAATTCTGTACATGTGGGTGAAGGAGATGACTTTGTTGAGAGACTGAAGTGGAACATAGTCAAACCTGGCACTTTAACGATAAATTCACCTCTCTCTGCACCTTCATCAGATTGAGAGGACAATGGAGACAACATTGAATTTTTTTATAGTTTTGAGAACACAAAATCTAACTTATACACAGCTGATGAGAACCTGACTACTTTAGAAGAGCTTACCTTCTTCCCTCTAGCAAAATTCAAATCATTAAGACAGAATCCTCTCTTGGGAAGGACAACTGAAGGATAGCGACAACCTCACAGATGACAATACTTGTTAGACTCTAAAGTGTCCGACCCATCCTAATTCATTCTAAAATAGCAAAACTGCCACAATGTCAATGATAAGAAGTCATTTTCTTTTGAAGAACTTTTATGAGCATGAATAATATTCGGGCCAATTGTTGGCTAACGGAAGCGATGTAATCAAGCTTCAATTAACCAATGACTAAAATGGACTCATGCCCTCCAGCTGTCTTTCTCAGGACACTTAACAAGCTCTCCCCCCTTTCACTTTTAGCCACCACAAACCATCAGGACATAATATTCCTCTCATCCTCCAGCCCGGCTCCATATGGGAGGGAGCATCACATGTGTCCAGCATGAAGAGGGCCATGAATCTCCCTCTTATGGATACATGTCACATGCTTTGTCCGCAGATGTGGAGGGGACGGGGTGGGGGTTTCCATACTGATAGAATTAACATGTGGAAATGACTAACCAGCCGTTATGTTTCTGATGTGCTTCGAGTGCTTTATATTTCCTGGGAGGCCTTTTCTAAAGATATGATTAATTTGCAGAATATGGTTAATTTTCCCTCTGCGGGATATTCCTGGCCAAGTGCATCAGTTGTGGACTGTTTGGCTTGCCCCTCTATGTTCACAGCTTATGTGTGTGTGCACGCATATGTCCATTCGTGTGTGCGTGCATGCAAACATATGTCTGCCTATGTATCACCCCTGTGTAACCACCTCCATGATGGGCTAATTGGTTTAGCAGCCAAGGGGCCAAAGGCCAGTGCAGCATAGCAAAACTCAACATGAACCTGATGTTGAAGGGAAGGCTTCCCTACTATAGGAGGGAAGCATGTGTGGGACAATTCCCTTTTTACCACCCCCTCCCACACACACACACACACACACACACACACTCCACTTTCCTTTTTCACTTAAAGAAACTCGGAGCATAAGAAAACAAAATTCTTCACAGTGTTCTGGGCCGCTGTGCTTCAGACTGGAGTAGCACTAGAGGTAATCTCTTCCATTTTAACATATTTTGAGACCTTCTTCTGACGAATGTCACATGCTATTACATTAATCTAGAATATTGAATTGGAAGCTTTTATGCACTATGAATAATATACACACTGTGATATTCAGGCGAGCCTCAACCTGCAGTATCAGCGGGCCCCTCAGTAAGGTTTGTGGAGCCTACTTTGTGTGGGGATCTGAGGGGATCATTTACCAGTTCCAACCCCATTACTATTCATGAGATGGGTAGGCTAGGGGCGAGGGATTAGGGACTCCCTTGGTGCTTGTTGTGCTGTAGGCTCGGGCTCAGGCCTCAGGCTCCGGGACAGGGGCTGTCTGGCACGGATGGTGGGTCTATTATCACCCTGGGACCCTTCTGTCCCACAGCAGAACACTTACTGACAGCGCCAGCTAATGGAAACAGTCTCTCTTGTTCCCTTTCTCTTTTTTTTAACCTCATCACCCTTCTTGTATCCTTCCCCCTGCTCTTTAAAAAAAAAAAGTTTTTCCCATTCCCTATTTCAAAGTTGAAATGGTGTATTTCTATTGCCATCTTTACCGTGAAGTGCTAGGATGGCTCTATATTTGCAGAAAAAAGTACTTTCCCGCAACTCTGTCAATGCTTTGATCCTCAATTTTCCAAATTTCTAACATCCTCCGTTCCCCCTTCCCCCCAGGTGATGAGTATCCTGAGCAACCCCAGCGCCGTATCCTCCCAGCCCCAGCACGACTTTTCCATTTCCCCCCTGCACAGCAGCCTGGAGAGCTCCAACCCCATCTCAGCCAGCTGCAGCCAGCGCTCTGACACCATCAAGAGTGTGGACAGCCTGGCTTCCTCCCAGTCATACTGCCCCCCCACCTACAGCGCCACCAGCTACAGCGTGGACCCCGTCACTGCAGGCTACCAGTACAGCCAGTACGGCCAGAGTGAGTAAACCCTGCGTTAACATTTACATACTGTATGATTGTGTTTAGCTTAAGTTGCTGAAGAAGCAAGCGCTTTTGTCCAAACGAGAGCAGGTCATTCTTTTATATCCCCCTCTTAAGTTGACTAGATTTAAAAAGCCTGTGAAGTGATGCCCAGCTCCCAAGCAAGAGAGCCTCCTGACCTTTGCACCCTGGCTGGTGGAGGGAGACACGTGCTCTTGATAAAGACCCCCCTCCCTCACACCACCACCACCAACACCGCCACCATCCTCCTAGAGAGCTGCCTTAGTCACACCCCACTCCACTTGGATGGGAAAGAGGAGAGGGCCACTTCAAAGAACGGCACACCCTCAGGGGCCACAGTGTCCTCTTGCCCACCTCTCTCTCTCTCCCTCTTTCTCTGTTCTCCATCACAGACACACATACACACACCCTCAGGGCAGGAAAGAGTTTGCTTTATTAGATTAGCATAATTGACTGATGCTGTCACAGCCATTCATAGGAGGTAAAATAAAGCACACTTCCCCAACAAGCTAGCCAGCGCCAGCTAGCCGACATTTGTTTGTATTTATGCAGCTTCTAGTAGTGATATGCTGCACTGTGCATCTGCTGGCTTTCTTCTTTTTTTACGTGTTTGTGTTGCGGCGCGTGAATGCACATGAGTGCGTGTCTATCCATCACGTTTCGAGTGTGTGCGTACCAGTGTTTTTGTCAGCAGCAAGAAACTGATGGCAGTGCGGATGTGAGCTGATGTGAGGTTAATTAAGATGGTGATTGAGCACAGTAGATGGGTAATGAATGGAGGAGAGAGGAGAGAGCTGCTGTCTGAGGATGAAAATGATCGGCCATGTGGAGTGTGGAGGGCATGAAATCAGAGATGCCAAGTGTAATGAAGACTGGCACATAGAACACACACGGGGACCCGTCTGAGTGACAGCATGGAGACTTTACCAGGATGCACATGCTCCGTGCCAGCAGCGTGCCAACCTCAGACAAGGGACAGGGGAGGGGTTTTTATCTTTCACTCTCTCTGTGTGAATTGTTTTTCATTTGACTCACTCGCTTCTGCCACAACTTATTTCAGCCTTAATCAGAGAAATGAAATGAGAGTGAATAGGACATATGTCTCAGGAATCTACCACCTGTCTGACGTGTGTTTCCCCCCTGTCTTTTTGTTTCTGTGTAGCTGCTGTAGACTACCTGGCTAAGAACGTGAGCTTGTCCACTCAGAGGAGGATGAAACTTGGAGACCACTCAGCCGTGCTGGGACTGCTGCAGGTGGAGACGGGACAGGCCTACTAGAGACACCCTGCACCACTCTCCTCCGCCCTCTGCCACCCTCCTCCATGCTCCATCAAGTCTGGACTCCAACTCCAGCTCGTCTCTCTGCTGCTCACTCTGCAGCCCGGCCATGACATCAGCGCACAGACATGCAGCCTCGCTGTGCACCGGAGAAAGGGACGCTTGCGGGTGTGACAAGGCTCTTCGGGGAATGGAACTAAACTTTTCACGCCATTGTCAACCACCAGGCGGCTCTGCACCCGCTCTCCTCAATATTTGGGCGTCGCTGCCTGCTCCTTGTACTCCTACCCCAGCCCCACACCCTGTTTTGTTTTACTCAGAAGGCCAGACAGGACCCCAGAACACCCGAGGATAGTCGGCCGCCTTGGCCTGGGTTCCTCTTTGTCATGGCTGCAGTCCAGCACACATTTAGAGCCATCAACAACATGTACTTTGACCTTGCTGTTCATAGTAGTTAACAAAGCCAATATCATTTGAACGACTCTTATTCTTGTTCCTTTTTGATATTGTTAAGATTATTGTTGCTGTTATATGATTATGGTTAATGTGATTTATGTTGTTCTTTGATTCCATTCGTATCTCTTTTCTCTGTTAGATGTTGGTGTGTAAAACACAGTGTGAATGACTGAGACGATTTGGGAGTGAGTGTCTGTTGCGTGTGCATGTTCTGCGTGTCGGCACAGTCACACAAGAGAAGATGATTGTTTTCCAAGCTGCTGTTCCTCAGCCTGTTCCCTGAGCTCTAATGTTCGTGAGCGATTTGACCTTCCCACTTTCAAATTCATCTTGACATTCCTAAAGAACTTGGCCACTCTGTGGGAAGTCTGGCTGGATGGATTCTGCAGGGAATTAAAGCAGCGTTGTGGCGGCCAATAGCTTTCCCCTTATAACCTCCATCCCATCCTTAGCCGCGGTCCATGGGGAGGGGGGCATTGTCTGCAAAAACAGGATTGGGGAAATTAATGTATTTTGTTTAGAAATATGGACCTTGCCAAGGAGGGCTAACTCAATTCCCCCTCCTCTGCTCATCCCAAATCCCATCTGCCAGGGAACCCTGAGTGACTTTAACAGTGTAAAGCAGATTAAATCACACAAAAATAATGTCAAAGCTAATTCACAGTGACCCTTCCTATTACCAGTCACTATTTCTGTTTTTATAGAGTAATTAGCACATTTTGTAAATGCACCTTCAGTTGGTTTCCACTCTTGGACTAAATAAGCATTCCTCAAAACATTCCACAGGCTCAATCTACGAATATACTACAAGCATTCCAATGCTTTCTGTTATGAGATTAAAAAGTACACAAGCTGTGCCATTCACATGCACTCTGGAAAATCATTTAATCCAGTCAGTTGTGAAAGGGCACAGGTAACACCACTGATTGGCCCCCCTCTCTGGTTTGGACCGGAGCCCCCTCTAATCCTCGCTTTGACGCACTCACTGAAATGTACAAAAAGAAGAAAAAATTTAAAGAATAGTGGATATGAGACATTTGTGTAGCACTCATAGTTAACTTTTGACACGATCCAGGACCAGCTGTTCCTTTGAGATGTGTGTGTGTTTTTTTCTTTCCTTGGCATCAGTGTGATGATGATGTACACAGAAGTGTTCACTTTATCTCAAGACAGGATTCGGTCCTCAGTCGCCTTTTAAAAACTGAAAACTGTACAGTAGCTGGAGCAGATTGTGTATTGTTTGTTTATAAAGAGTATGTTTTATACTAAAACAAAACTATGTCGAGTGGTAGGTAAGCGAGGGATCTGTGGAAGTAAATGTTTGATTTGAGTTTCCTTAACTGGCTTGTTTTCTGTTGGTTTTGTTTTTAATTGTATTTAATTGGTTTACTTGTTTTGACCAAAAGTTTTGTTACTGTTTTGGACCCAGGTAAGAATGAATTTGTATAAATTAGTAAAATATAAATTCCATTAAAAATGTTCCAATTAAATTTGTATAAAGGAGGATCAAACTGAGCTCAATGGAAAATGAAAGCTTGGTGACACAGATAGACTCCCTGGACCACAGGACCGCTGTATATTTGAAAGGTGGCTGGACGAAACATCTTCATGCGTCAGAGCATTTCGAGGGTGTTTTTGACCACCAGATCTTACAGACTTATTATAAGTGCAGACCAGACTTGCCTGGACCGAGGACCTGAACACACACCCGAAAACCCCAGAGACTTCGGTGTGGGAGTCCACCAACGGTTCAGCATGACAATGATGATGAGGATGATGAAGCTGGTGAAGACATTGTCTCTGCTCTGGGAAACTGAATCGAGTCACATTTGATTTGTGGACCAATAAGACTTCAGGAGAAAAAGTCAAAGTAACGCTGACTCCGCACTGAATCGCAGCAGTTCCAACTGCTCCGCTTAGACGCCTCACTCATGTGTATATTTTAAAAAGGAAGAATTTTAGAATCGTCTTTAGTGTATCAAACCCATTTCTAACACTTGCGTCAATAAACATTTGGATATTTAAAGCATACAACTCCTTATCCCCCCTCCCGTCTGTTTGACCCTTAACCTGTTTAGTTGCTTTCTGACATCTGTGCTTTGCTTTACTCCTTTTTCTGTTCCGCATGTGTGTATATTATCATGGTATAATTTATTCTGCTGTATGAAGTATTAGAGTAGTGGGAAACTTGTACTGGTATTTACTACCTTCAGCCTGTTGGTGTGTTTACTGTAACACTGGCGTAACTGTTATCAATTAAAGATCCAAAACTGATTCTGCCATTTGTCTCTTCTTTATTGTGCGTGCTGATTGTTTTGCAAATGAGTTTGACCATGTGCATGCATGTGTGAAGTATTGTGATTCCTCAAATAATTGATAAAATAAAATTAATTGACCACAATTTTTATTGTTGATTGATTGTTTAAGTCGCTCTTTAAACATAAATGATCATTGTGAACTGAATATTTTTGAGATTTAGATATTGTGATCGGTATTGTTCAGTATTTTCTTACATTTATTGGACTACAATATAATTATTAATTTAAAAAAAGGTCAGCAGATTAATCGATAATGAAAATAATTATTGGTTGCAGTCCTAGTGTGAAGTTTATGAGTGCACCTGTGCACAGGCTGTACGAATATCTAAGTATATGCACATTGCCTGTGCATTTGTGTGTGTGTGTGTGTGTGTGTGTGTGTGTGTGTGTGTGTGTGTGTGTGTGTGTGTGTGTGTTTGTGTGTGTGTGTGTGTGTGTGTGTGTGTGTGTGTGTGTGTGTGTGTGTGTGTGTGTCCTCCGTGTGTGTTCAAGTACATTAGTAGAGCCAGCAGGCCACCAGTGACTGTTCCAGTGCTGGTGATGTGATTAGGGAGTGATGAGAGCTCAGACGTCCCAGACTCAGAGACACAGACTGAGAGCGTGTCTTGTTGCAGCTGTAGGAAGTCATTCATTCTAGCCACTGACCAGCAGCGCTGTCCTCTCCTGCCGCTGGCCCCGGGAATGCTGTCTGCAAATCTCTGTGGCATGGTGTGAATGCAGGGGAACTAACCAGTGTGGTATGGAAGCATCCGCTATGTTTTATATTACACGTCAGTAACAGTTGAGCTCATTCAGTTTTTACAATCAGCACTGCTGGAGTTATGTCAAACACGCCTTTGGTATGTTCATTCAGTCCTGACAGATTTTAAACAATCTCAAACATGTTGGGTATGTCTGCAGTCACTGTAGCTATAAAGTGTCTATACATAATCTTGTGTAAATTAGTAAAGAAGCAAATCACGCCAAGTTGATCTGAGAGAGGTGTGTTTACATTTTGTATACCATAAAACAATAACCAATACTTTACTGTTAATTTGCAATTAAATAAAACTAATTAAAGGCATCACTTATCACAAGTATTAACATCATTAACATCAAATTGTATTAGGAGATAAATTTGATGCTAAATAAAGTAAGTGCTCATCTAAATCAACTTCTATTCAGCCTGTGTTATCATGAAGTAACTATCATTCATATTTCATACTTTGAACAGCTCAGCGAGTATAAATATTTAGTATTCCCTTTAGATTTACAGATTCAAATCAGCTACAAACTGCACTGTTATCACCACATCATCAGTTAAATTGGATGCAAATGGAAATTATCATCAGTGTCTAATTATAACACACATACTTATAAAAAAGAAAATATTCTTGGGCTCTGGAGTAGCATGTCAATAAGGCAGAAATGTGGTCAATTCTAAAGCAGTGTTCACTCTGAGGAGACTTCAGTGGATCCTCTCAACATTTTAATATGTATTGTTTGGTGGCTCTTTGCCTGCTGTGTGTCATCCCTCATATATTCCTCTAAAAGTTTGTGTTCTGGTTGTCCAGATTAGACCTTGGCATGTGCCATGGTTGTCCCCTTTGCTCCAGCTTGTCTCCTGAGGTGCCGGCCCCAGAGTTTTGTCTCCCTCCGGTCTGCTGTCACTCAGACTGGACGAGGTGGCAGCTCAGGCAGTGGTGTGTGGGAGAGCTTTGTGACACTTCCCCTCATCTCCTCCTTTGATCCCCTAATTGATTGACTACAGGAGCAGAGGATAAACAGAGCCCACAAGAGCCGATTCCACTCGCCTCTCTGGAGTGGTTTAGATAAAGTGCAGAGGCCCGAGCTCTCCGTTCCTCCTCTTCCCTCTCTATGTGGACATACGGCCATTGAAGGTGGCTCTGCGCCACGGTAGCTTAGCCGTGGGCTGTGTCCTCAGGCCCGGGGCTTGCGTACTGCCCCTGTGCATAAATGGCTGGCGGTAATGGGTTTGTTTAGATCACAGGGATGGAAATGAAACTCCTGAGCCTCGCTGTAGAGACCAGGAGGCCCTATCACTCAGGAGGCAGCGATAGAGAAGTCACAGCCTCAGCCTGGTCATACCCACTCTCAGATTGAGCCATGGAATAGAAGCTCTGATTCAGATCTAATTTAGGACCAGGCTCCAGAAACCTGGCCATGCTATGATAAATAACACGCTGGTGAAGAGTCAGGAAAGCCATGAAGAAGAAGAACACAACGTGCAGTGAGGGGCCTTCTGTGGAGAAAAACAGGCCAGAAATGTCACCATTTTAAGGAAAATATGTATTTGAAAACATGACTTTAGAATGATTTATACCAGATATGATAATTATATTCTAATTTTACAAATCTGTCTTCAGAAAGAGAGTTCAGAGCCGTGTGCAGGTATGCTAAGAAATGATTAAGAGATGCTCTGGGGGTCTTGGTTTTATTCTTTGAGATTATGTGTCACGGAGAGTAAAAAGCTCCCAGCTGTCGCCATGAAAGCACTTACAGTATAATAATCCTCCAAATCCTGTAATTATGCCAGCATACGCCGTGTACCTGAGCCTCAGCTTTGTGCTCGTCACCTCAAGGATCCCACTGACACAGACACAGACGCACAGCTTGGTGTGCATATATCTTCTACCCAACTGTGTGTTTTGCATAGGGAGAAAATCTTATTTTCAGAACATTTTAGGTTTTTTGAATTTCATGGTTACCCCTTTCAGGTATTATAGATAGACAATCTGTCATGTATAAGTAAAAAGCAAGAGCTCAAATGTGGGTATTGTCATAGCTTAAAGTCATCAGATTTATCCTTAACTGTGTGTCCCAATCCTAAAATATTTTATTGCATTTGATCAGTTTACATTTAGTTTATGCGACATGATTTGTCCAAATACAAATGTGCACATACATGCACAAATACACACTCAGACCAATGCACACTTCCCTTAAAGCAGTTTTTAAAAAACGAAAGGAGAAAAAAAAAGTCCAAGTAAAGTTGTAAATCTAAGAAATCACAGCAAGATAAAAATCACTGTGAAGCCAAGCTTGATTTACATTTAAAATCTGAGCTGTGCTCTCAAACTAATTAATATTAATAACAAAAATGGAAATGAGTGCAGTGGCGGCCCTAAGTGAAGAACAAGCTGGGTGCATTCAGTCAGGAGATTCATATATAAGCCCTTTCTCAGGAGAGGTGGGCTCTAAACAGGCGTGACGGCAGGGCATAGACCGCCATACACAGCGACAATTTTTCTAGATAATAGCCTATCACGCAGGATACAATTTAAATTAAAAAATGCAATTTTCACCTTGAAATGAACAAATGATTACAGTTTCTATACAAATTAAGGCATCCAGGCTGTGCCTCAGTACTGTGCCAAGGCCATGAAACCTGACATAATTACCATGAAATACATTTTCAAATATTTGTATTTTGTCCATCGCTTTAAAACATGCCACTCTGCCTTCTGTGGGTTTGTGATCTCACCTTCTGGGGGAAATACATAAAAAAGAGAGAAAATCATCAGAGATGAAAAGCTCTTCAACAGGAGAGATAAAATGTGGAAAAAAACAACCTCCCATACACACAGTAAATCAGCGCAGCTCAGCACAGCGGCCCCCGGAGCTATCTCTAAAAGCCAAATTACTGCTCCTTATCTAAGGAATCATATCTACTAGTTATCTGCTCCTGAGATAGGCTCCTCTCTCTCTCTTGTGCCTTGTGCTCATCGCTAGAAATGCTATTTATTTGTGATTACAGACACCCTTTGAATAAAAGATGTTTGTGTTTGAGATCCAAAGTTTCGGCAGATTCCAAACTCTTCAGATTCTTCAGAGAGGAGAGTATTGAAGGCAGAACACCTTATTTGGGTAGGGTTGCTAGGGGTGGTCTGCTGCAGAGAGAGGGATGAAAGTGTAGCCGATGGGAAATATGAGACAAGACCTCAAACTTCTCTGACGCTTCATATCACATATGCTTTCGGAGGGGATTCATACTGAGATGAGGTGTCGAATTGACTTTAAATGCAGAACCTTATGTTTGAAACACATGGAGACAGGAAGTTCTGGCATGTATTTTGTAGAAAGCTGCCAAAAGCTGCAAAGTTTGGAGTTGTGGGAGTTTCTCTACTCAGAGATATTAGTGCCCTCAACTGTGAGGAAAAATATGAAAGTAAAACATAATGTTACTAGCAAATAAATGTGCAAACAGCTACAAAGTACTTACGTATTTACATGAGTGGGAGTGTTTTAAGATGGAAACAAACAAGGTGTGTCAAAATACTGCACATGACCTTGAATACATGTATGCACATTTTCATGGTGACATTCAAATTCATCATCACATCTCCTCTTCACTTCTTATGTTTCTACAGTATAATAAAGGCTCAGACGGTGATGCTTTTGCAGAGATTTAAAGATGCTCACCTCCCCATAAGAATGCTAATAATCTACTAAAATGTTTAATCTTAAAAATTCTGATCATCTTTTACCAAATTAATAAAGCAGTTCACTAGAGTCGAGAAAATTCTTGATCCACAAATCAGAAACAATTTCTTACTCTGCTAACAGATTTTTGAACTTATTTTGAGCAAAGTAACTTTTTGAAAACACTTTAGGTGCTATAATGGACGACTTGTTGAGATGATTCTTTTTTAAGAGCCTCTTTTCTCCTTCCATTTCTTACCTTCCCTCTCTTTCCCTCCATCTGTTGAAGTCCCTCAGCCAGAGAGGCGCACATCAGATTTCAATAGTTGACCTCTTAATGCTGAGGTCAGCGCTGCACCGGCAGCGATTTCACACTCAAGATGAAAGGGAAATGAACACTGAGGATGCTGGGGGTGACATGGGGCCCTGACCACGCCAGCCATTGCCACTCTAACCGCTTCACTGCACCAGGCTGGGATCTGAGAGGAGCCGAGTAGGAGGTGCTAAGATTGAGGTTTGCCACCTGTATAACAA